CACTTTACCTTATTTTTTGCAAGGGATTCTTGAAGTTTGGTTATGTTAGAACAAGAAATGTCACTTTAGCTTATTTTGCAAGGAAAAGCGGGGGACAACAAAACCGGATCAGGACACACGCCTTTGCCATGAGACTCCGCACGAAAATTATGAAAACGTGGCTGCGGCCTAGGAGGCGCGGGGGGGGCGCGCACCAGGGGCCCCCACAAAATTATTCTTAAGAAGAAATAATGTTCAAAATGACAACAATGACAACAACAGCAACAACAACAAGACAACGCCAACAACAGAACAACAAACAACACAACATTTTAAGGCTGTACGCTCTTACTTGCCCGCGAGTCATTCAACACGTATACCCTACACCCTCGATACCCGCCCTCTTCGTCTTCGATCACACCCCTTTCGGGGGGATTATTTCTCTTTGCTGGGGCCGGCGGGCTTAGACGTACGGGCAAACCGGAACGGGCGGACAATCCTTCGGGGGCGTACATCTCTCTGCCCGCCATTGGAATTGGCGCGGGCCCTGCAAGAGGAGGAGGGGAAGAACGAGGGAGAGTGGGAGGAAGGGGAGGGGGAAGGACGAAGGAAGAGGGAAGATACCACGTTGTGAAGGCGTCCTTGGCGCGTGCGTGGTTCCTGAGCGCCGAAACGCAATTCCAGAATAATTTGTGAGGACGTCGCACGCGAGAGCGCAGTCCTGAGTACATTGTGAGGAAATCTTAGGCGGAAGCGGGGGCCCTGACTAAGTTGCGAGGAAGTCTCAAGCGGGAGCGCCGTTCCTGAGCAAATTGCACGGAAGTCTCAGGCGGGAGCGGGGGTCCTCACTAAATTGCGAGGAAGTCTCAGGCGGGAGCGCCGTTCCTGAGTCAATTGCGCGGAAATGTCAGGCAGGAGCGGGGGTCCTGAGTAAAATTCGAAGAAGTCTCAGGCGGGAGCGCCGTTCCCACGTAAATTGCACGGAAGTCTCAGGCGGGAGCGGGGGTCTTGATTACATTGCGAGGAAGTCTCAGACGGGAGCGCCTTTCCTGAGTAAATTGCGCGGAAGTCTCAGGCGGGAGCGGGGGTCCTGAGTAAAAACCGAGGAAGTCTCAGGCGGGAGCCGTTGTTGTTGTAGCCCGGGGGGCAGGGGCACAGTTTGAGCAGGAAGACTTCCCTTGAGAAAAAAACAAGGTGCGAGCCCCGGGGGTGGCACTTCAATCGAAAAAAATCAATGTGCACCGGTGGGGGGGGGGATCAACAATAATTATTCTTCAAGAATGAGAGTTCAACAGCAACAGCAACAGCAACAGCAACAACAACAACAACCACAACAACAGCAGCAGCAGCAACAGCAACAACAACAACAGCAGCAGCAGCAGAACTAACAACAACAACAACAACAACAACAACAACAACAACAACAACAACAACAACAACAACAACGACAAAAAAACAACGGCAACAACCCCAACAACAACAACAACAACAACAACCACAACCACAACCACAACAATAACAATAACAATAACAATAACAATAACAATAACAACAGCAGCAACAACACCAACAACAACGCAACAACGCAACAAGCAGAGTCCTCCCACTTCAGCCACGCACCCAGGGACAATGAATGACCGTTCGGCCCCCTCACTCTGATGTCAGAAATGCTAGCCATATGTGAGAAATGCTACGCAGCTGCTAGCCAGCGTGGACCCCAGATGGTAGGCTGTCGCACCCTCGCCCTCGATGTGCAACACATGTGCTGCAAGCTGTGCGCTGCGTCCTGTGTGTGGTGCTTGCGCTGCCAGCTGTGACGCTGACACTGCCTGGGCGACCCCGCGACAGGTGCGGCACGAGAGAAAGGCTGGGGGGCAATGATCGTGGGGGCCTGGCATAGGGGGTGGTAAACATCGACCTGGAACCAGCGATACGTCGCCGATAGATCGGCGATAGGCCCCCGATAGCGAATCCGAACGTTCCTGGGCAGGTGGGGGCTATCGGGCCCCTACCGGCGATCAATGGGCGATTGGGGGTCGATGCATCCACCCCCCTATGCCTGCCTATCCCTGCACGGTTTCCCCCGGGGCCGTAGGCGACCCGATGAGGAGGAGGGGAAGAAGGAGGACGAGGTGGAGGGGGAACGGAGGACGACAACGACGACGACGGCGACGACGACGACGACGACGACGACGACGACGACGGGGAGGAGGAGGAGGAGGAGGAGGAGGAGGAGGAGGAGAAGGAGGAGGAGGAGGAGCAGGAGGAGGACGATGATGACGACGACGAAGACAACGACAACGACAGAGGGCAGAAGGCAGAAGAGGGAGGAAGAGGACCAGCAGGTGAACGAGGACCAAGAGAAAGAAAGAGGGGGTAGGGGGAAGGATAAGGAGAAGAGAGGAGGGAGAAAGAAAAAGAGCTGGTGGAGGAGGGGAAGACGGCAAAGGAGGAAGGGAAGGAGGGAAGAGGCGAGGAGGACAGGTGAGGACGGATCGAAGATCAAGGAGGGAAGAGGGATGATGGAGGATGTAGCAGGAAGCAGGGGAAGGAAGGAAAAGGAGGGAAGAGGGAAGATGGAGGATGATGATGAGGACTCGGACCATGACGAAAACAACGGCGACGACGGCGCCGTGTGCGAGGACGGAGACAAGGAAGAGAAGCAGGGAGGGGAAAGGCAGCAGGAAGAAGACGACGACGACCACGACGACGAAGACGGAGACGGCGACGGCGACAAAGAAGGTGACGGCGACGGCGACGGCGACGGCGACGACGACGACGGCGACGACGAAGACGACGACGACGACGGCGACGACGACGGCGACAACGACGGCGACGGCGGCGGCGGCGGCGACTAGGACGACGACGAAAGGGACAGCGACGACGACGACACAAACGACGACGACGAAAACGACGAACAGCCCAGCAGCTCCTTCCGCCCTGGGGGCCCCGGCTCGTCCCCAAGGGCACCCAGAAAAAAGCCCGAAAAGAGTCGCGCGGCAGGGGCGCCTTGCGCAGCCAGTCGAAGGTACCCTGGCGCAGACGCGCCGCGGCCAGCCTCGCGGAAGGCCGCCATGTTCCCTTCTCCCTCCCTCCCTCCCTCCCTCCTCCCTCCCTCCCTCCCTTCTCCTACCACCATCCCCCGAAGCGCCAACCTTCGACACGACAGACCCCACCCTGCATCCTCCTACCCGCCCAATCCCCCTCCTCCTCCTCCTCCTCCTCCTCCTCCTCCTCCTCCTCCTCCTCCTCCTCCTCCTCTCTCCTCCTCCTCCTCCTCCTCGTCCTCCTCCTCCCTCCTCCTCCTCCTCTCCCCCCTCCTCCTCCTCCCCTCCTCCTCCTCCTCCTCCTCCTCCTCCTCCTCCTACTCTCCTGCTCCTCCTCCTCCTCCTCCTCCTCCTCCTCCTCTCCTCCTCCTCTCATCATCCATCATCATCATCATGTTCCTCCTCGTCCTCCTCCTCCTCCTCCTCCTCCTCCTCTTCCTCTTCGTCCTCCTCCTCCTCTTTCTCCTGCTCCTCCTCCTCCTCCTCCTCCTCCTCCTCCTCGTCCTTCTCCTCCTCTTCCTCTTCCTCCACGTCCTCCTTCTGCTCCTCTTCCTCGGAACAATCGGAAGAGTAAAACGACGCGTGCATGGGAGAAGCAACAACAAAAATCGCCGAAGCTCCGCTCGACAGAAGGGCACGGACCGTGCCTTGATGATGTAGCCGTCGCTTTTCAAGCTCCCTATCCCAACTCTCTCACATCCCAGACCCGCCCACACGTCCATCGGTCGACCGGGAAGCCCATAGCACTGAGCACACATCAACGCATCCGCCTGGCATCCACATCTCAAGGATGGGAAAAGTGGGGGGAAGGGAGGACGCCTGAAGCACGAGGGGGAGGAGAGCCACAAGATACAGAAACTCCAAAGTTCGTACCTTCGCTGACTGCCTCTGGTCCCTGGGCAGAGCTGAAAAGAAAAAAGATGCCGTCGTACCAGCAGCCTTGGCCGAGTCGCATCGGGCAACAGGCTGAGATGGCCTCTGATACTGCTCATCCCCAGTCCCCATCCTACCCTCCCAACCTGCAACCCCCACGTTAAGATCCTTTCACCCAGCGCAGCTGGATGTGCACTGAAGAGACAGGGCGGCGGGGGAACGGGATTTGTCCAGGATGGAAAAGGGAGAGAATGAATGCAGAGGCAATGGGTCTGCATGAAAAGGCAGAAGAAACACGCAAGTCATCCAACACGCGGCGAAACGCTATGCATTCCTTTTCACGGGCGCCAAACCTGCGCGCGATTGCTACGGCGTCCATTTCTCCTAGCATATGGTGGACACCGCTGCTGGCCGTGCCTCCGAGCACGGGCGCCGTTACGACAAAGCTCTGCCATGCGATATGGTGGACATCGCTGCTGGCCGTGCCTCCCGGGCGCCGTTACGACAAAGCTCTGCCATGCGAGATCAGGCCCCGCACGGCTGCACACCAAAGGCCAGGCACAGGGACCCTCTCGCCGCGGCGTGGCCACCTGGATCCCCACCTCTACCACGTGCTGCTGCATACGTGCCGCCGCAGCCGCTGCCGCATCTAGGCGTGCACGGCGGCGTACAAACATGTTAGAAGAAGCTGATGATGATGCTGATGCTGATGCTGATGCTGATGATGATGATGATGATGATGATGATGATGATGATGATGATGATGATGATGATGATGATGATGATGATGATGATGATGATGATGATGATGGTGTCAACCTCCGCCAAACAGCCAACTGAGCCTCGACCTCCTTCTCGTGAGAAGCGAAAGGAGGATCGGCGACATGTCCACCTGGCCTGGTGGAAGGGCCATCCAGCTGCCAGGCAGCCGCCTGGGTCTCCATCTCCATCGCGTGCTGCGCGCGTGTCGCCTCAGCCGCTGCAAGATCCAGCTGATCAAAGCGTGCAGCAAGCTGGCTTCTTCGCTCGGAGCCCAAGCCTGCAACTTCGGTGGCCTTCAGGGGTGCCCTGGTTAGTTCCTGCTCGGCGGCCGAGAGCGTCCTGGGCGTCGACGTTCAGGGTGCCGTTGGATTCGATATCGTTGGTTTCTTTGATGAGCGGCTGACCAACCTGCGCTGATGGGGGCCCGCTGCACTCGAACTCAAACTTGCCCTGGGCTCCGACTTTCAGAATGCCGTTGGAGTCGATCGCGTATGCATCTTCGGCACGCGGTTGATAACAACGCACAAGTGGGATCCCGAACTCGAAGCTGCCGAGCTGGCGGGTGTCATTTTCCATGGGGGGCTCGCCCTCGAGGGCGCGCTGCTCTTCGGGCAGCCAACCATGTCGCTCGAGATGGCGGGCTTGCCCTTGTCGTCGACAGCATCCATCACCTCCAGGAGTGCGTTCTCCTCGACCGTCTCGCGCAACGAGTCGAGCAACACGGCCACCTGCGAGGGCCGCAGTCCTGAGGGGCGAGAGGGCCAGAAAGGAGCTGTTTCGCGCCGCTATGCAAAGGTGGCCACCTCTGCCACGTGTGTCTGCTCATCTTGTTCCTGATCCTTGGCTCGGCTACACGCAAGAGTGACCCTAAACAAAAGTGATATTTGGCGCGCGACTTAACAAGGGACGCGGGGGGGTCCAAACCCAGACGCTCAAGCCGCTGCTAGCTACCGCCTCCCGTTCAGCGATCGGGGGACCCGCACCAACGGTCACTCCGACGAAGGGTCACTCTAACGTCTTCTCGACCCTGGCCAGCTGCACGAACAGCTCGGCCTCCAGGTCCGCGACGTGCCGGCCACTCGGGACCTCCGGCAGGTCGACGGCCTCTGCGAGCTGCTCGCCGAAAGGCGGCACGCGCTCGGCCGCCCCCTCTCGGACGGGGGCCTCCCGTCTTCTGGGAGCCAGGCAGGGTGCTGGGCGCAGGTGCGCAAGAGCACCTGCCGGGGGCGGCCCTCGAAGTTCTGGCGCAGCGTCTGGTGCCGCACCGTGGGGGCGAGCCCCCTGCCGCGCTTGTTTGCGCCGAGGACCCCCGCGGCGAGGGCCGGCCGCCAGGGGCGTTCCCTCCTCGCGGCCTCGTCGCCCGGCAGCACCCGCCGAGCGGCAAAGCCCCGAGCTGCGCGGGCTCCGCGGAGCGCAAGGGCCTGTCCGCCCGATGCTGAGCCTGCCTGGGCAGCCACAGCAGCAGGCCGCCCCCGGTGGCCGCTGCAGCCGCCCGCGCCCCGCCCTCGACAAGAAATGGCTGCGGCGAGGGAGCGCGCAAGCCAGCCTTGAGGCAAAAGGGCTTCGGACTCCTCCTCCACCTCCTCCTCCTCCTCCCCCTCCTACTCCTCCTCCTCCCTCCCTCCCTCCCTCCCTCCCTCCCTCCCTCCCTCCCTCCACCTTTTCCCCCTCCCCGCTGCCCCCCCCTACCCCCCTCCAGCCATTCCCTCCCTCCTGTCCCAACCCCCCCACACCAATCCCCCCCCCGTCCGTTCCCTCCTCCCACCTAGAACCCCCTCATCCCTACCTCATCCCCCCCCCCTTCCTTCCCTCCCTCGTCCCCTCCCTCCCTCCCCCTCCCCCCTCCCCCTCCTCCCTCTTCCATCCCCCCCGCTTGTAAAGGGCAGCCTGTCTCGTCGCACTACCAGACGCGTCTGCAGGGGCAGCGGGCGGCGGGCACGGGCGGGGAATGGAAGGGCGATGGGCAGGGGCGCGGAGCGGGGGGATGGGCCGGGGGCGGAGGGCACAGAGCAGCGGAGGGGAGGGGCAAAAGGGCAAAGGGCCAGCCAAACTTCGGTCCGCATGCCCTGGCCCACCGCACCGGCCTGGCATCCACGTCGGACCGCTCCTCGGGCTTTGCGCGACAAGGGAGCCGGGGGGCGGAGGGAGAGGGAGGGGAGCAGAAGCAGCATCTGCAGGAGGGCAGCAAAGAGGGGAAGGATGGAAGAGGACGAGGACGAGGAAGAGGCACGCGGACGACGAGGAAACCAGGGAGGATGGGGAGGATGATCCCAAGGGTGAGGGCCAGGAGGGAGCGGCCACGATATTGGCGACACAACAACAACAACAACAACAACAACAACAACAACAACAACAACAACAACAACAACAACAACAACAATCATTTAAGACTGGGGACACTCCGTTCTCACCAGTGCCAGGGTTTTCATAGGAGTCGGGCAATACCCCCACTTTGTGGGGGGGCCGGTTCAAGCTCTACCAAGTTTAGGACGACTCTTCGCCACCACCCACACCCAGCTTCCCGCCCTATGACGTTCGGACACTTCACTTCGTGGCCTGCGGACGACCTTGGCTACTACACTGGCGCATGGGTACAATGACTTGTTGTGGTAACATTTTGTGGAAGCACGTTGGGCCCACCGGGGCCCACGTTGGGCGTCAACACCCAACAGTTCGTCACATTTTTGGGACAAATTTCAGACACATGCATTTGTTATGTATGATACATGTTGCACATGAAGATGATAGACATGAAACAAAGACACACAACAGTTGCGCGGTGCTAAAATCCCTACGAAACCCAATGGTTTTTGAAGATTTCGGCGTGCGCGCGCAAAGAAAAAACGAATGTGTCCCGCATGGTATTATTTGAAAGGGATGATGACCCTGGCAGGTGCGCAACGGTTGTTGGAGAAGTTCGAAGCACGTGAACAAGTTGCTCGGAAAAGCCCATTTGACAGAAATGTTTAAAAAGTGTTGGGTTTCCGACAAATCCGCAAGAGCGCGCGGGATGAAAGTTTGACACTTTTTTTTTTGAAAAAAAAACATTGGTTTTTTGATGTTTTTATGTTAAAATCGCTGCGAACACTAAGGTTTTGGAAGGATTTCGTCTTGCGCGCGCGAATGTCCACTTTACCTTATTTTTTGCAAGGGAATCTTGAAATTTGATTATATTAGAACAAGAAATGTCATTTTCTATTGTTTTTTGCAAGGGAAAGCGGATTACAACAAAACAACCGGATCCTGTACACACCCTCTTTTCTGAGGCTTCCTCACGAAAATGATGAAAATGTAGCTGCGGCCTAGGCGGCGCAGGGGGGGCGCGCACCAGGGGGCCCAACAATAATTATTCTTTAGAATAAATAATGTACAACAACAACAACAACAACAACAACAACAACAACAGCAGCAGCAGCAGCAAGCAGCAGCAGCCAACCACAACAACAGCAACAGCAACATCAACAGCAACAAAACACCAACAACCATATAAAAGGCTGGTACGTTTCTTAATTGCCCGCGAACGTCATTCACACGTATACCCTACACCCCCGATGGCCCGCCCTCTTCGACTTCGATCACGAATAAAGGGACCCCCATTCGTTGGGATTATTTCTCTTTGCTGGGGCCGGCGGGCTAGACGTACGGGCAAACCGGAACGGGCGGACAATCCTTCGGGGGCGTACATCTCTTTGCCCGCCATGGGAATTGGCGCGGGCCCTGCAAGAGGAGGAGGGGAAGAACGAGGGAGAGTGGAGGAAGGGGAGGGGGAAGGACGAAGGAAGAGGGAAGATACCACGTTGTGAAGGCGTCCTTGGCGCGTGCGTGGTTCCTGAGCGCCGAAACGCAATTCCAGAATAATTTGTGAGGACGTCGCACGCGAGAGCGCAGTCCTGAGTACATTGTAAGGAAATCTCAAGCGGAAGCGGGGGCCCTGACTAAGTTGCGAGGAAGTCTCAAGCGGGAGCGCCGTTCCTGAGCAAATTGCACGGAAGTCTCAGGCGGGAGCGGGGGTCCTCACTAAATGGCGAGGAAGTCTCAGGCGGGAGCGCCGTTCCTGAGTCAATTGCGCGGAAATGTTAAGCAGGAGCGGGGGTCCTGAGTAAAATTCGAAGAAGTCACACGCGGGAGCGCCGTTCCCACGTAAATTGCACGGAAGTCTCAGGCGGGAGCTTGATTACATTGCGAGGAAGTCGGGAGCGCCTTTCCTGAGTAAATTGCGCGGAAGTCTCAGGCGGGAGCGGTGGTCCTGAGTAAAAATCGAGAAGCCTAAGCCTGGGGGGGGGGTCAACAGATTTAGAGCAGGAAGACTTCCTAGAACAAAACAAGGTGCGAGCCACCGGGGGTGGCACTCAAATCGGAAAAATAATCAAAGTCACCTCTTGGTGATCAACAATCAATATTACAAGAAATGAGAGTTCAAGAACAACAACAACAACAATAACCATAGCAAAAACCATACAACAACAATAACATCAATAATAACAACAACAACAACAACAACAACAACAACAACAACAACAACAACAACAACAACAACAGTTACAACAACAACAACAACAATAATAATAATAATAATAACAATAATAATAATAATTGTAAGACGGTTCGCCCTTATATGCTCGAGTGTCCAATAACGCGTATTTCCCAAACCCTCGATACCAGCCCTTTTCGTCTTCGATCGAACCCTTTTTGGGGGGTACACCTTTCTTCCCTGCAGCCCGGGCCCTGGCAGGCGGCGGGGCGGCCGCGGACCGTCGGCCTGGGCAGCGGCAGCGCTGATCGGCGGGGCGGCCGTGGCCCATCGACCCGACCCCAAGAGGGACGGACAGGGGACCGACCACGACGACGACGACGACGACGACGACGACGACGACGACGTCGAAGACGACGGCGACGACGACGACGGCGACGACGAGCGAAAGCGAGAGCGAGAGAGAACGACAGCAGGGCCACGAAGGGCACGAAGTAGGCCACGAAGGGCGACAGCGGGGACACGAATGGAATGCGTATGGGGCCACGAAGAGCGCGAACGAGCGGGGGCCACGAAGTGCAGATAATGCGGGGCCACAGAAGGCAACGATGGGGCCACTGAAGGTAGCAACTGGGCCACGTAGGACAATGAGGGGGACACAAATGGTGACAGCGGGGCCACGAAGGGCATGCACATGGGGCCAGAACGGGCGCGACTCCTGGGTGCCTGGGTGTCGGGAGCGCGGCGCTTAAGCAAATTGCAAGAAATTCCAGCGCAAGGCTATTTTTCAGTCAAGTGCAAGCTAGTCTCCAGCGAGAGCGCGACTCCAGAGCACTGGGAGAGCGAGAGCGCGAGCGAGCAATTGTAAGGAAGTCCCAAGCGAGAGCGCGATTCCTGAATAAAGTGCGAGGAAGTCTCGGGCGGGAGCGGGGGTCCTGGCTAAATTGTAAGGATGTCTCAAGCGGGAGCCGTTGTTGTTGTAACCCGAGGGCCAGGGGGCCAGTTTGAGCAGGAAGTTTTTCCCTGTCAAAAAAAGGTGCGAGCGTCGAGGGGCACACTTTGATTGAGAAAAACAGAATGCACTGGTGGGGGGGGATCAACAATAATTATTCTTCAGAAATGAGAAATCAACAACAACAACAACAACAACAGCAACAACAATAACAACAAAACCAAAACCACAACCACAACAACCACAACCACAACCACAACAACAACAACAACAACAACAACAACAGCAGCAACAGCAGCAGCAGC